TCATTGAAAATCCCCTACTACATTCAGTTACGAGTTTTTAATAGCTTGGTAAGGTTTTTTCCCGTACCAGGTCCGTCTAAAACCTACACGGAAAGACCGAGTTCATTGAAAATCCTCTACTATACTTAGTTATGAGTTTTTCATAGCTTGGTACGGTTTTTTCCCGTACCACGTCTGTCTAAAACCTACGCTCAAGTATGTTATGTAAAATCTCCTTCTACTGCGTTAGGTATAAGTTTATATGAACACTAAGTACGGTATTATCTCATGTAAATAAATAAGTAATTGAATAATTTTACTCTCATGAAAAAATATTAGTGAGACATTGTAATTTCCAACTCACTAAAATATTTTTAACAAAGTCATCCATGATCCACTTTGAGGTTACTTTTGATATTTATAGTAACAACATTAACAATTCATCACTGCACCAGTATCCTAATTGACTGTCACTTATTTTTTTAACGCTGGTACAAACTTTTATTATGATAAAAATAATATTACAATGAAGATAGATAATTTTTAATATGGCTACAGGTATATTAAAAATGCATACCGCAAGAAAAAAAAACTGCTCTGCGCACTATAGAACGTCGTCAACACCTACTGGATACATCTATTTTTCATAGCTACAATTGGTAAGGGAAAAAACCGTACCACCGTCACTAAATACTTGTACTGATCTATTGATATCTTAAAACCTATATACTTGGCACGAAATTTAAGACCACTTAAGGTGACACTAAAAATTCTTGTGTTAGTAAGCAACTAAAATGACGTTGGTGTAGTATTTCTTACGATCAAATATTGTGGTAGCGGATTTTCAATAAACTCGGTCTTTCCGTGATGAGTATATGCGTACGTCAGGAAGAGAGGTATCATGAAAAAGTAGGTGAAGATGGTAAGGATTGAATGTAACGATGTAACACATAAAAACCTTTGGCTAAATGTTGAATTTCATTTACTACAATACAATATTATAGAATCACCCATACACATGCTGTGGAAAAAAGATCATACGTAACTCGTTCGGATCGTTTTTATGATATGTCCCATTTGTGAGTATCATGCATAGGATTGCATAAGGTTAAATAGAATTAACCAGCGGCTAAATTTATGCAAAATACTTCATCTGGCATGTGAGGCACGACTAATTTACGGGGTCTAGAAGCAAAAAGTGTTATTTAAATAATAGGATTCAATGTTGATGTTATTTTGTTATAATATGCAATTGAGTTTTAATACCAGTATGCTAACTTTAAATTCAACCTAACAAACTTTCATGCTCTACAACGCTTTTCCAGCTATTTTACAACGTGTTTCGATGATAAGTGTATTATAACAAAACTACAGATGAAATTTGTCAATACGAAATAGTGTCTGATTTCAGTAGATTCGTAAACAAAAATTTGATATGATGAACTAAAATTGAGATGTACAAAAATTAGATAGTGTAAAACGATTTTTTGGCAATTTTAAAACGATTTTTCTGGATAGAATCGTTAAGGAGTTTTAGAGAAAAACTTATTTCACAGACAAGCTTCATTTTATCAAACTTTACAACTTTTGTATTCAATACTTTGTTATAGAATTTGAATTTATTTTTTTAACGAGCAAAAAACGTTTTTTTCGCTATTTTTGTATGTATGTTGCTCTACAGAGCGACTGCAATGCAATTTTGAGCAAAGTTCATGATACAAAAAAGTTGTATTTTAACGAGATCTGAAATTTTGTCTCTGAACGCAAACGTGTTAAATGGATATAAAAAACGTTATCTCTGTATAACTGATTTTTTCATCCCAGAGTGCTGAACTCAAAATGCTGACAAAATTTTTCTTTTTAATAAAACTTGTTCAAAAGAAAACGATGTTTTAGTCATATTAGACATCCAACTTGAAACTACTAACCAAGTTTCAACTTATTTGGACCATAATTACTTGAGTCGGAAAATTTGATAAAGTACATACAAACTTCTACACACACACACACACCCACTACGTGACTAACTTAGATCACCCTCAGACTAAGTTCAAAATTTGTTTTGTATTAAAAATAGACGGTTTAAGAGTGGTTACACTTTTTTCTCTGACAAAATTATAAGACACTTTTATATGTTAATCGTGTTTAGAAATGAGACAGAGAACCAAAATAATTAAAGAAATTATAGAAAAAAATTGAATGTTTTCAAAATGTACCATTCTCTAGAATATGCATTAACAAAAGTTTTTTTTCAACTTAGGTATGTA